GTCTGGATTGTACTCCTGTTGAAGTCTTCAGATCCCTCATGCTCGGCAACAAATGGAACAGCCGTGGGTTGTTAGCTAGTTTCTGTGAACTAGACTTTCTGCTTCGAAAGAAAATTTGAATGGGGAAGTATTTTTTTTATGCTGGAACATTGATTATTTCTTCTTCTTCTTTGGTTATATACTTAAAGATGACTAGAAAAGTATTACGGCAGCTTAGCAAAATTAATTAATACAATTAAACATACAACACTCCAAAAGCTTATAGCCATAAAATGTTGTTAGTCAACCATTGTTTCGTTATGAAAACTCAGAGTAGTGTGTGTTATTAGCTTTTTTAACTTAGTTTATGTTTTCAATAGCACAAAAAATTGACTTCTCTAGAGATTAGCTTGAGCCGAGCAAACCAACTGCACTACTTTGAATGAGTTCTGGGTTAATAATATATATCCCTTCGTCTTTGTCGAAGTTTATTCAATATACTCCCCTTTATTTTTCAAGAGATGGAAATTTGAACTTAAATATCGTATTGAAATAAAATATATCTGGCCACAAATACCGCTCAACTCAAGCATCCATGGATTTCTTACACCAGATAAGGCACACACTACTGCATCGTATGCCATCCACATCTTTTCAAACATTAAAGAAAAGATATCAAAACGGTACAAGTTTTTTTAAAAAAATTAAAATTTTGGATTATTAATTTAATTAGGTTTAATAAAATCAGCTAATTTAAATAATATAAAATAAAAAATACAACTCCAATGAAAAAAAAACTAACAATATAAAAAAGATAAAAAAAACCTTGACCGTGCCCATCAGGGTAATCCATAGAAGGCAAGCAAAAAAATAAAAGCAAAATTATAAATCAACAATTGGTGAGGGATGAGTTACAAAATAATAATAATAATAATAATAAAGGCTAAAAAAAAGAAATAGCAAATAAAAAACTAAGTAAAGGTAATTTTAAATTAAATATCAAAGAATTAAATTAAAAAAATTAATTAAAAATGAAAAAAACAATACAAAATTAAAAATTAAATTTGACACAAAATTTAAATGGAATTAAATGAAGGGCAAAATCAATGAAAAAAATCAATCAAAATCAATAAATTATATAGCATTTGAAAAAATAAACATCAAATTGGATAAAAAAACAAACAAGATGGCACATTTATATTTTGGCAAGGAGAAAAAAAGAAAAAAAATCCACTAAAATCTAACCGGTCCTTTATCATCCACATACATAAAACCATTGGAAAGTCTGCGAGGAGTCGCTTCGAAAATTATTTTTCAAAGCTGTGTTTAGATATACGGCGATATTGCATGCACTACTTATTTGTTGGCACATGTTATACACTCACTAACAACTATTTTTGTATTAATATTTTTATTGGTAAAAAAACTAAATCACTTCTAACTAATCAACTTTTTAACAAAATTTATTATTCAAGTGAATATATATATGCGCGCACTAATTTCATAATGATCTTCGTTTTTTATTTTTAATTTAATTTTAATGCAAGAATATACACACACGATTTAGTTCCAAAACCTGATCTCTCTCTCTCTCTCTTTTCTTAAAGAGAGAGTCCTTATCCATTGGTTTTCCAACATTAACACATTCGTGTGTCAATAGATTGTACTTATGAAGGTTTCCTTCCTCTTCTTCTTTTTTTTTAAGTGTAGGAAAAATAAGGGGCATATTGGGATGTGGCAACATGTGACCAAACATGGAAACAAAAACTCTCTGAGACTGAAGTCTAAACGTAGGATGGCTCCTCGCAGAACTAGAGAGCGTGGCGGATTGTTATTATAATTAAAGCCTCGAAACCAGATTTCTTCCACTGGCACGACTAAAGCATTTTTCTTCGAGCCCACGGTTCCAGAAGTAAAGTAGTGGTTTAATTCCCAACTTGCAGTGCCGTGCAGTTCAATACACCTTTATTCCCCCCCACCTCACGGTCTTCGCACAACATTTTTTTTTTTTTTTTGTAAAAATATTTCGCAGCAATATGGAAGAGTGTGTACACAAACGGCACAGTATTTGACTTAATGCATAGAGTTGATTTTATTTAGGTTTTGACCATTGATAAAATTGGCTTAACCATAAAAACTCTAACAAATTAATTAATCCATTTGTTGGACTCTGAAAATTTCGTAGAAAATACGTTCTTCATCAAGACCTTCCCATATGCTTGATTTTTTCCAGAAAAGCAACCCAAACCTTTCACATTTATACATTGCATAGTAATTAATAATTAATACATATTTATTGCAGGAAAATGAATATTAGCCTCCTCACATCACATTAATTATATCATTTTCTACCAGCGCATGCGCTGGTGTGTTTTTGTCCAGAATGGGAAAACGACTACTCTTCTAGGTTACTATGAGAGAGAAGGCCCGCTAACTTGGAAAATAAGTGTAATTAAGTAGTATTGACTTTGTTGAAGAGTAATATGAATGATATTAAAATTAGATCTGTTGTCATCGCCAGAAACCGTCAATTTTAGCGGTCACGATCCAGTCTAGCAGCGTGCATGAAAGGTTTACTACTTCTAATTGTGTCCAAACAGGGCTCGGCTTAGAGGAAGACCGGCTCTAATATACTTGAGCCATAATCTTAACTCGTATGCATCAGTCTCGAAGGGGCCACCACAATACCTAAAACTTGGATTATTTTCTTTTGAGTCTAAACGTAGAGTACAGCCAGGAATTTAGCATTGAAAAATTACCACCCATTGTATAGGTTAACACTCATTGTGCATCCAAATAACTTTAAAATAAAATTGTTACTTTTGTAGTTTAACTAATTATAGAGTTTGAATAACGTAGAACTACGGTGTTTTTCCAACGCCATTAAGCTTAGCCTTTAGCTATTGCAAGGGATATTTCTCGTAGGAAAAAGTATGGAGATTGGAAACTAGATAACCAAAATCCCAAATCTCTCCATATGGGACCAGTTTTCAGCTTCCCTCACCCCCGAAGGTGGTTAAAACTGACTGCTATTCGTGAGGTCCAGCCGGTTCACGACAAGAAATTGCGCCCGAATTTGAGGGACATAAGCCTTGACACGTTTGCTTGACTTACTACAAAGACTTGCCTCGTGGCCTTAAAGCAAGCAAAAACCCTTTCAAACACTCCTCGTGTCCAGGATACGGTGGGAGGTGCAGGTAATCGGTTAACAGAGAACGTTTGCAATCTGAAACACACGAAAATCTCGTGGTTGGTGTTTTGGTTTGAAATTTTCCTAGCAAGAGATCCCATGCGCTGCTTTGCTTCTCTGGTCAATCCCAATCCAATATTGACTTTCCCATGGTAGCGCATGGGATTCGAATTTGGTAATAATAATAATAATGTCGGACTTTCAATTCAAAGGTTTGTGTATTCACACGTTGTTTGAATAAATCCCAAAAAAAAAATGTAAATTGTAAGGTTAATACATAAATCAATAACTATGTAAATAAATAAATAAAATCATTGACAATAATCAAAATAAAAATTAAAAAAAATTAAGAGATGAATTAAGATACCCTACAACACAAAATAAGATATTTGCTTGATTTTTTTCACTAAACTTTTTAAAATCAATAAAAATTAAATCCACATGTAAATGCATGTCTGCCCTTCTTTCTTTTTAGATGTCCTTAATGAGACATTCATTTTATTGTATTCACTAAATTTATTTAATTATATTTTTATGTGATCCATTTTTCCTCAATTACATCTATAAGTGTTTAATTTGTTTGGGATTAGGTTTCATTATTTTTCTATTTGTCATGCTTTTAATTTAATCATATAGGTTACAAGTTTTAAGTGTTAATGTGATTAAGAATCCATTTTCCTCTCATTTTCTTTTATGATTTTATCATTAAGGGTGAAAATAAAAAAAAAAAAAAACTTAAAGAGTATCTAAAAAAATTAAATTGAAAAAAAATATAAAATTTAATTGAATGATAAAATTGAAAACCAATAAAACTCTAACAAAAGAGCCAAGGGTCAAAATAAAAAATTAAAAGAATAAATATTGAATTAGAAAAAACTATATATGATAAATTGTAATTTAAGGACTAAATTAAAATCATAAAAAACTTTTGTAAAAGGTGCAAGGACGAAATAAAATTGTACAAAACATAAGGACTAAAATTGAAAAAAAAAGAAAAAAAAAAGGACAAACATGTGCTTACTCTGAGAGAGAAATAAAAAAAAATCAATCGATAATAAACCGCCCATCAACTGTCATTACATGCCACACCAGGAGAAAAAGAATGCGTGCTTCTAAAAACATAGCAAAAAATAAGGTTTGAATAACTAGTGGCGTTATATATGCAGTCTGAAGAGCACGGACGCCACCAATATACTAAAGCATTTTCAAATAAACAAATAAAAAACCAATGCAAAATTACTAAAATGAACCTCAATGCATAACTAACCTTTTGTCTTTTACAAAAACATATGTTTATTTTTATTGCAGCTTAGCAAGTGAAAACCCACAAACATTCTTGGTCAGCAACTCAATTATTTTATAATGTTATAACCTTTATTACTATCTAAAAAATTATGAAATCTAACAAAACCCCTTTGTTAACCAGTCTAATTTTTGTTGACCTTAGGGTATAATAGTTTTTTTATTATGCAATTAAAATTAAAAAGACTTAACATACCCCATTCAATCTTTTAATTATCAATAAACATATAAAAATACCAAAATATCTCTACATCAAAAGCTTTTTTTTTTTTAGTAAAATGATAATTTTACTTCACGTAAAAGAAAAGAAATACCCCACCCCAGCCCTTAGAAATAAGAAAATCCACTCTGCAAGTACAGAATAGACTGTCTTGAAACTTATCCATAAGAATAATCGCAAGAAAACGGTTGATATGCGGGGCTGATTGAAATACCATAAGCTGATCATCATCGATAATGTCAAAGTGTGAAATATTATCTATTATTGTTTCAGCAATGAACAAAGGATTCAATTATATATATAAAAAGATGGCGTGACATGTGCACTCCAATATTTCCTAAAGAAAATAAATACCGATATGTTTCACACGGGTGCTTGTACATATCCAGGAAAAAAAATACACGTACATGACGTGAAAGAAAGAAGAAATTGTAAACTAAACAAAAGTCATATCCAGCGAGCTCCAAGTTCAAACTTGAATTATTATCTTGATGAATGTGCAAGTCAGTGCTTACACCTACCTTGAAAGGATATGATAAGAATAATATTAAACAAGGCAACAGCGCACAAGATCAAGTAAGTGGTGACGTTTTTGATAGATAATTTCTGTTTAGCTGCCAAGGTTGCAAGAAATCTAGCTTGTAGTGTGGGTGTGTAAACACACTGCCGCCACACTAATAGTAGTATTCTGTCGTTGTCCAGTGCAATTTCTTTTCAGTTTCACGTATAAATTGTATCATAGAATCAAAATAAAGAAGTAGATAGACTTAAAAGCATTACAAGAAATCAATTCAGAAGTCAAAGAAATGCATTTAAAGTCAGTACAATGTTCAACAAAAGAGTTACCAGGAGTGATCGGGCTGGTTGTAAAGTCACAAACTGCTGGTTAGAGGAGTATTCACTTTCAATGAGATGGTGACTAGACTAGCAACCACAATATAGAGTGTTTTTTAATCAGGGTGATTCACATTTTACATTGCTTAATCTTTAATAAATTCGCTACGACTAGCAAGCACAATACCTAATTGTTTTCAGGTGCCCCAAAGATCACATTTTCACGGTAAAAACAAGGGGGGTTGCATTCATGAACCACGAAGTCAGACATGGAAGAATAGCATTACAATAACTTACAAAAAATCATCATACCAGTTGCCGTAGATGATACCTAAATTAGCAGCCACCTAGCTGCATATTCAAACAAGTTTTTCCTTTTTGTGCTCATATTCAAACAAGTTAAACTTTCTTTATGACGAGAATATTAATAAATATAAAGTTATTTTGTTTTATTTATTAAAAATAGAATAATATTTTTAATTTTCTTTGTAGTTTAATTTGTATATGATCTCTTTGTATTTAAGTTAATCATATTATTTTAGATTAGTGTGATTATTATGCAGTATCAATGAAATCCTAGTCTCCTGCTCTCTAATTTTATTTTATTTTTTTAACAACGAACATACCCCAGATAATACTTTCAACTTTCTCATTGTATAGGGTTCTTCAGAAGCAGCTCTAGCTTTCCACATCAACCACACCACTGGCTCTTATCTGCCAAAGAGAAAATAACTTCTAAATCATGAATAAAAATGTTTAACTGAAAATTACATTCCGATCTAGGGTCTTCACGAGCACACTGCCTCCAAAAGGTCCCTTGGCTTTCAAAACCACAACATAAATAGAATAGGCAAAGCAGAGGCCTAAAAAGGTTGGACATAACAAATTTGTAAGAGCTAATCCTGTTCCAATTTATGGTCTTCGGGAGAAAACTTTACCGCTTAATGCATACAAAGTAGCTATCATGACACACTGATTTCAGTATTAAAATTGTGGGTAAACAAATACCACAGCTCACGAAAGAAGCTTGGCTCTGAACAAAATAAAACAGAGAAAAAAAGTTCAGATAACAGATCCCCAACTACCTAGTGATCAAGAGATAAATTATATTCACCAGCCACAACCGAAAGAACAGACATGCAGATGAGAATCCTCAGGTAACTCCATTTTGGCCTGGACTCAGAAGTTAAGATCCCAATGATGCATTAAGATATATCAGAACTATATTAATTCTGCTAATTCTAAAATTCTGTTCCTCCATTCTCCTGTTTGACCCTGGCTTGAAATAACAAAACAGAAGGTAATGTTAGGCTGCCAAATCACAATAATAATCAAGGCTTATGTATGCAAATTTTGCATGATTTTCCAGAAGTAGAAATTACGAGGTTGAACTTCCTGTCAAAAGTTAATGGCCTTTTTTCGCTGAAAGTTCTGAAACACTTGCTGAACTTTTCTTCTTCATACCCAAATATCTTTGACACTGGATCAAAATTGTGCCTAAGTTTGATTAATATTATAAGGCAGCTATTAACAGTTCCAGCACTGTCGAGTCAGAAACCATTTTCCAAGGATTTGATAATTGGGATACAAAAGTTGACATTCAGAACCAGTCTCACTGAGTGCTGGTACCTTTGTACTGCAAAATAGTACTGCAAGATTTTAATGATTATCCACTTGCTGTAATCACTCCTGTATTAGAAAGCAATCAAAGAACATCATTCCAGGCGGTGCACGAGAAAGAAAGTAAAAGCTACTCCATTACAGGCTGCATCTTTAGACACACACAGACCCGTGCAGTCACATCTCAACATCAATCCATGAATAAAACCTCAGAGTCTTGGAGATCTGCTCATGGACACACCAATTATTAGAAGTAAAACAACCATAAATATTGATCAAAATGCCCATCTATTAATACAACTTAAATATCAACTCCAGATTTCACTTGATATTCACAAGTAAAGAATTCAAACCCAACTAAATTTCAATATTATTCATATCATTTTCTCCAAACAATTGAAACACTTCTTTGAAAAAAAAAGCATAATTCACTTAACTAAAAATGCTTACTTGCAGATTGATCACCCCTTCAAAATCTAGGAAAAATCTTCTATTGAACAAAAATCCCACGTCAATTACGGCAACTCATGTGGTTATGCAGTTTGACATCCTAATCCAATGAATGAAATTAATGTCAGCATAAAAATTATAGCAAAATCAAAAACCTACAAATTATGCAATCAGTAAAGGACCACTAAAATGCAGAGAATTCAATCAACTTCAAGAAGTCAAATTGCTTTTCATTAACACTAATGAAGATACATAATATTGTCATTTCCTTAAATTTATATCCTCTCCCACTCTAAGAGAAGAGACCTCTAATTTGCACAAATTAAAAAATCGATTACCCACAATTCATATAGACCAAAATGTTCTTCAACAATCAGATTACAAAGGCCACAAAACTACATTGCCAACCCAGTCAAGGAAAATTCGAAACCACACCATTCCCGGCTTCTTTACAGACACAAAATATTTGAACTTCAAAATTCTAAAAAAAAATAAAAAAAAATTGAAAACCAATGAATTACGGATCACTCTTGTACAACATCAGTATTATCTTCGTTTGGTGATCCAAACTTCTGCTCGAAAGAGTCTGTAACAACATCACGGAACCCTTTAACACCCAGAAAAACAAAAACACGTTAATAGAATGAACCCATAAAGTTAACTAAAAACCCAGAAAGAAAAATTTATTGCACAGGCAAACACGTGTTTCTATTGTTATGTCATGATGTGCATCTGCGAAGGCTGTTTCTTTACCCGGAGAGCAGCAGTCTAGGCAATCAAAAAAGAAGCAACCATAATTTCTTGTTTCTTTGCTTCCATTTTGTCAAGCATTATTTACTTTATACTCTAGAGATTCTTTTGGGTTTTTGAGTCGTGAAAGAGGAGAGGTAGGGATGACAATGTTAGGGATGACAATGGGCAGCAGTGGAGTTGGATTTTTTTTATTATTATTCATTTTTTATCTATAATTTGTTATTCAAAAAATTTAAATAAAATATAGGTATTCATATAAAATATTCATTATCTAATATATATATATATATTAGGAGTATATATATATTATTACAAAAATTAATGTTCTATAAATATATTGTTCAACAAGCAGCAAACAAAAACAATCCTTGGCAACCTATTCTTACCAGGCAGCCACATTTCGTTCAGCCTTGCTAATGCAGTCTGTGCTACAACTGCAGTTGCAGAATGTAGCTTGTTATACTCCGCCAGAGTGCATTTTGATAAGGAGTAAGAAGCCATGGCAATAGGGGAAAACCTGAGCCCCGAATTTATACTTCCCCAGCTCCACTTATTCAAGTTCTATTTTTTTCTCATTTAACCTTTTCACTTCCTTAGATAGCTTGTGGAAACTCGAGTTCTGCAGTACAAGTGCATCATTTAAACTGCCTGGGAACCCAACAATTACACCACAGAATCTCATGTCAGGGTCCACTGTTGCTTGCTAGAGCATGTTGTGGTTCTTCTCACGATCAATCCATACACCATTTGATCGGTCCACTGTTGCAGAGTCATGGCAATGCGGGTAGCGTCAATTGAACCACAATAATTAGGCAGGCCACATATTTTCTCAAAATTTGATTTAATCTCTTCAATCTCTGTTACTGTGAAAGGCCAGCAAAGATGGTGCAGACCTCTTTCTTCCTTTGCTTCCACAGATCGCCGGGTTATTTGAGGAAAAAATGATTGGTTGATCCCCAACAAATCGCCAGTGTTTGACAATGATTCGCCAGAGCCGAGCCTCCTGAGAGCAAAAGTTACTTCAGTCAGTTACAGACAGTGGCTTCCCATTTGAACCAGTGAAGTTTGATTGCCTTGCCCTCAGGTCTCCCTTCACAAGGGAGCAGATGTGGTTGGATGTCTTTCTTGATGTTTTGAAAAAAAGATTCAAATTTCTTTTATTCAAAAAAAGGACCTAAAAGTGGAGACAAAGAAAACAGTCATCCAAGTGATTTTCGAATCATCATGCAAAAAAATGTCCAAAAGAACAATAAACTCGCGGGGTTGTTCAGGCCAATTTGCCAGATGAAGGGATATTCTGCCTCTAGCATGCTTGATAAAATACCAAATCCAAGGCTACATAGAGATACATCAAAAGCTGCATCATACAGAACAATAGCAATAAGCGAAGGTGAATAGAAAGAAAAATACAATCAAACAAAAAGACAAGGGAGAAGGTAAAAGTTATTCGTCTTTTATAGCAGAAAAATCAATGGATAAATTTTCTAAATTTTTTTTATAGTTTCATAACAACTACACTTTACATTCTCACTTTTCATAAATTACAAATAATTAAACGTAAGCATATTTTGTAATTTAATCTCACATAATACATACAGTTTTATCTTGATCGGCATGTAAATTTCCTCGTTAGACTCTATCAAAATGCAAGATTTAGATTCTTTTTTATTTCGATTGCAGAACATTTTCCAAGTTCTCATCCACCAAAAATTCAAGAGAATTTTAAAAATGCTATCAGCTCATTCTTAATATCCAAGATGCCCTTCATAGCCCTGTCACAAGGCAAATCCATCAGCTACCGTCCTCTAGGATGGCGGTGGTAGACGGGTTGATTCGATGGAGGAAATTGAAAATGTTGTTTATGGTTTATAAGAAATAAGGGCGCAAAATGTTACTCCTGTGAAACTACAGGGGGTGATTTGAAAAAGATGGAGCCCAGCCCATATAGCTTTCCTCCCTAACCAACTGGGACCATGGCTGGAGTGCTGCTATAACCATGCTTGTTCTGAACCCAAATAGACCCTTGTTTATGGTTTGCTACTGGGCTTTGACCTGCTTAATTAAATCCACTTATTTGTGATGCTGGCAAAACAAAAGGAATTATTATTATTATTATTATTATTATTAAGCCACCATCAATCATGCTTGAGATGGATAACCGGAAACAACTTAGTTTTAAAAATAATGCTAATCTTACTGATATTTTCTTCCCTCGAATTTCAAGCGCTCAAAACTTCAATCCTTGAATCAATGAGATTTGTTAGCAAAATTCACATTTCCAATGCATCAGATTACTTGAAAAGTGGATTCAGAAATTTTTATTTTTTTAAAAATAATCACTATTTCTCTAATTATTTGATAATTAGGGTAATATTTTGCATTGTAATTCAATTTTATTTTTTAAAATTTTTAACTTTAAATTATGCTTTTGAATTATTTTAATATAAAATATTAAAAATCTCAAAAAATATATTATTTTAATATATTTTTAAAAAATAATATCAATCTTGTCTCCATAGACCTTTACAAGCTATCAAGAGTTTTTCAATTAGATTTTGTGTGTTTGTTTTTTAAGTATTTTTTATAATTGGTGTTTTTAAAAAATAATTTTAGAAAAATAATTAGGTATAGTTAATTGAATTTAAATATGTGTTTAAAAATTATAGTTGAGATTTATATATAGTAAAAAATTTGATAATTATATGATTGTAGTTGTTTTTCAAAATATTTTTTACTTGAAAATGCACTAAAATAATATAATTTTATTTTTAAAAAATTATTTTTGATATCAGTCATGAAAATGATCTAAAAATACTAAAAAAATTCTTTTAAAAAAAAAAATAAAAAAATCATCAATTTTTTTTACAAAATTGCTTTTAAAACTCAAATACAAATAATATATTATAAATTTATTTAAAAAAATATAAAAACTGGATTCCAAATTTAATTTTTTAATAGACTTTGTAGTATAAAATATAGTTTTTTTAGTTAGTAAATACCTTGATGTATTTTTTACACCGTAGACGCAAAAGTTTGTACAAAACAAACGCACCGAGAAGCTTCCTCCCTACTCAGCTCTATAGTGGCAAGTCCTTCATGCCCCCACTTCTTCATTGCCATCAATACTCGCTCTTCTCTTAGCAGTCGCGTGTGTTGACACGTTGAAGTACCCTTGCTAGCAATTTCTCCAGTGATTCTGGCCCTGTAAACTTTGTATTCATCAAGTTCATCAAATGGAGTCCAGGAACGGTTTTTTCTTCTGATGACTGGAGAATTTGAGTCCTCGCTTGAGCTGCTAATTATGTCCGAGAAAACTTTGGAGTTTCTTGATGATTTTGTGTTGTGTGACCGAAAGCTTAGAGAAGTTTCTAGCAGTAGTGATCCTTTAAGAATGTATTCATGGCCATGACATAGTTGTACATAGTCAGTTTCGGACAAGTCCTGCCTCACAAATCCATTTTTGTACTTCCTGATTTTTTTTTAAGGAAAAAAAATCAGCACAAGCATACATCATTGCTGGGAAAATGATGGCAATCAAGAGAACTGAAAGTCTGAAACATCAATATAGTTGTTTTCTTAGTTTTCTTACAATTAAAAAACTGAGAGTAACTGAAAGAATGATCATTCTACCTTTTAGATGACCAGGAATACATGTTAGCCATGCCCCGACCTCGGAGATGGTTTAGCCTATCTGTCACATCTGAAAAAATAGGGCCGAAATTAATTCATACAACAGACACGCATAGCAGTAGTACCATACTCAACATTATTGTGCTAATGGGATCTTGAGCTTGCAAATTTTTAAGAAAAAATTTCACAAAAAATGTGTATTTTTCTCTTAATGTAGGCACTACCTTTTAGTTGAAGTCCTTAGGTAGAAGAGAGAGGGACTTCCATGAAATGAGGATGCTCCAACCGGCCATTCCGTGTGAGGTAGTAAACAACACCTACTTTCTGCTCGGATTTTGATTTTGGTAGGTTTAACATCTTGGTTCTTTCTGGATTGTTTTCCGTCTTGATATTTCGTTGGCATCGGTAACTCTCTTCTATCTGCGGAAGTGGTAGCCATTACAGGTACAAAGAGAAGCAACTCTACCAGTTGAAAGGTTTAGGCACCAACAGAATTCGATGTAAGATGGAGACGAGTTTTTGATCAGTATATAGTATTCAATGATCTTGACTTTTGAACAGTAGAGGTTTTGGAAATTTTGGGCAGGCAAAGAAAGATGTACAAGTCTTTGCTTCAATAGAGGGAACAGCTTAGAGGAAAGATGGAAGTTTGAGCATCTCGAAGGGCTTGGAATTTTGGATAGAGAAAAGTAGACCAACTGCTAGCAAACAGAGATGGGAATAACAAATAGAAGATGCATCAACCTTCATGCTGTTCGATTATTTGTAGATGAGGCAGTGAATAGACTCTACTAGAATCAGGTGAATCCTGTGGATAAAAAATGGGTAATGGTCATTAAATTTAGGGCCAAGAGTTAAAATGTTTCCTAAGCACATTATCCCTTACAATCTGCTCACGACCAAATTGAAGGTTAAGACAAAATCCCCATTTTCGACAAACACAAGTCAAAGCCTAGCCCGTGAAACCATGAAATGCTAATCAGGGGCGCAAAATTTGACAGTTCACTACAATTTCCAAACCGCAAGTCTTGACCTGTGGAGGCGACTGTAGAATCTGCTAGCTCCAAGCAAGAAATATACCCTGACTTGCAAGTCACTCTTCCCTCAGTCTCACAGCTGTTTTATTATATCTACAGTTCATCCCTAGTAGTTAATGGTCCTGACAGACCTGTTTCTAGTTCAACATCTGGATGCTCCAACCATTTTGGTGGGATTTAGGAAGCCAAGCGGGCAGAAGGCAAGGTGCTGCAGGTCACTCCTGTTGAGCTTGAATACGCAAACAATGAGTTGTGATCGGGTTTATAGACTGGGCATAAATAGAAGCCTGCGTTCAGAGACTAGAAAAAAAAAACACAATTTACGTTGTCTGCAGTTTCAAACACGAGACACAGAACTGCTCATGTATCAACAAAATCAACCTCCGGGGTATTAGGGATCGTGCTGGAGTTTCTGATGCTTCCTGCCACGGCAATCTTAAGGGTCTGTGCTATTCCTCTTGAACCAGGTCACATTCAACTATTTCCTACCTTTCAGGAAGTCAGAAACAGAGAAAGGACTTTCCATGCGGCACTGGACTGAGCAACGGAATTTGATATTGAATTATACCGAAAAAACATTGAGTAATGATCCAGGGCATTCAATTCGACTGATTTAACAGATAAACTTGGAATACAAAAATGTAACAGCTAGCGTCTATGAATCGTCCAAACTGATGTGACGTCAAAGAGTTCCAACAATTTTATTTTTTTTTAAGTAAGTAAAACTCTTTGCCTAGCTGAGTAAATAAGAAAAAAAAACAAATTAAAAAAAAAGGGAAAAGAATCCCCACTTATTTAACTTGTATTGGAATCTGTTGGATCAGCAGCTAGCTTCTTTGGGCAAGCCGTAGAAATATGCCCCTTTTCACCACACTCATAGCAGGTCCTCCTCTTAATCTTACCACTGCTAATGCTTGGCACACCATTATTAACTTCATCACTTGGAATCATAGGCAGAGCAGTTGATTGAATTTTTGCTTCTTCAACTATTTGATTTTGGTTTCCCTGGAATTTTCCTCCCTTCTTAGGGACCGCACAACTTATCTTGATGGGTCTCCCGCAGACAATCCGCTGGTCCAACTTTAGTGCCTTCATCAGTGAGTCATTGTCAGAAAAATCAACATGGCCATAACCACGGAATTCCCCTGTTTCCTTGTCCATACCAAAACGTATAGATGATATTTTGCAATCAGAGAAAAATTTCTTCAGGTCATCTTCAGTTATATCCCAAGACAAATTTCCAACATAGATCCTGTTGTAACCCTCCACAATTCCTGGTGCAAAATTGGGTTCCTTGCTGACTTTAGTTGTCTTGTAAGGCTGAATTTTCAGATAAAACCCACCCCTGAAAAGTATTACAAATTTCATGAGCATGATGAGAGGAATGGGTGAATACTGATAATGGAAAGCTAAGTAGCATTGTATCTACAAGTTACTTACATGTCAGATCCATCAAGATCCAAGGCTCGTTTGGCAGCAGCTTCAGTCTGCAAGGAAGAATTGCAGTAGAATCAATAAAGGAAACCAAGTTAGTTCAGCAGAAAAGTTTCAAGTTTTCGAAGTTCAAAATATTGGAACTTCATTTCAGTACATCTTAACATGGGTGCCTTTCCTAGAATCAGCCTTCAGCCTAATCAAGGGGTTGTCTTAGCATTGCTCTGATTCCATCCATTTTTCATCTTTAGCTGTGTCTTCCTTCACAGTAACCCACCATTTCCTATTGTTTTAAGAAGAAAAATTCCTGTAATTTGGCCAGAGACTACAATTAACCAGACAAAATTTGTGGTTCACTGCGATTGTTTAATTTATTAGGAAACAGGTTAGCCAGTCATCAAAATTTCAGATTCCTTAGCTTGTAAAAGCACAGAATAGAGCAAAAAATATTTAAGGAATGACATTGTTGACATTGGAGTCAAATTTAAGTTAATATTAAAATGTATTATGAAATAGATAACCAGGCTGAAGTAGGTGTTATTTAAATTTAGATGATTGTAGATACCTTGAAACTAATGATGGCAATTCCCCTAAACTTCCCACTGTCAGGAAATGTCATACAATCAACTTCGGTTATGGTACCACAGCCTTCGAAGAAACTACGAATGTCATCCTCAGTTGAATAGTATGGAATGCCTCCGACATAAACTTTGTCAGCAATATCCTCACTTATTTTACTGCAAAAGCATTAGACATATAAACGAAACAGAATTAGCATTCAAAACAACCATCATGTTGGTAGTTAGAGAGTGTAATCCAATCTAAAATAGCACCATTTGTTTATCCCTGTTCCTAATACAACAGCCTATTTTCAAACCCAACTAAAAAATTATCCAAAATATTGATCAATTGCATTACCAAACATATTATGAATACCATAATCAAAGAAAAAACATAAAAACCTGATTTGAAGAAAATGGGCACCAATAATCAAACACAAGCACGAATGACAACCCGATTTTACTACAGGGGAATGCTTCAAAATATTACCTTTCTCCGGCCGCTTTTGCCGCCTCTACAACCCCTTCTGCCTCACCAACTGCCTTCTCCTTCTCAGTTTTTGCCTTCGTCTTCTTCTTTGTCTTCTTCTTCTTCTTCTTCTTTTTCGCCTTCTTTGCCACCTTCACTTCTACATCTTCCTCTAAACCCTTCTTTTCACTCTCTCCCTCCTCCCTCTTTCTCTTCTTCCTCTTTATCTTCTTTTCACTACTTTCACCATCACCGTCCTCGCCCACTAACAAACCCCCTTCCCTTATGTCTTCAACTTTCTTGTCATCTTCACCATTATCACCAAATTGGCTCTTTTTTTCTTGAGCCTTTCTTCTTTTTCCTCTCTTTGACAATCTTTGTCTCTGTTTTGCTGCCTCTAGAAGCTCTTGAAGCTGCGAGTTCGACTCTGGGTTTCCTAAAGATCCTTTTTTGCTATCTCGTTCGGGTCCATTAGACACTTTGGATACTAAAGCCTCAGCCTTCACAGTTCTCAGCTTCTGCTTTAGCTTCTTGTTTGATAACACCATTGTTGTTCGCTTTGAACCCAAAAACCCTAATCGAGGGCTTATAGTTTTATCTGTTTAAACGTGACCGTTAAAAGCGAAAACTAAACGACGCCTCGAGTGGTCGTTCTACTTCGTAAATTTGGTTGAAGGAAATAACGTGACCGTTATAATCAATCCTCCGATTTCGGTTGAAGGAAAAATACCATCCTTCATATAATTTGTTTCGATTAAAGGAGTATTTGGTTATTATGTTGTTTTAAATTGGATTAATATCACCCTTAAGTTTGCTTAGAAGGCATTAATATGATTCAATTTTAAGTAATTAAAGTATTTTATTCAACCAAATGTAGAAAATAAAGGTTGTGTATGATTTTAGCCAAAAAAAATAAAATTAAAGAGCTCATTCTCAAAGTATAAAACGATAGCGTTTTGAAAACTCTAAGTGGGTAATAATATAAAATCCAAAACATGAAGAAAAATAAGAATCCACCCCAAGCATTTTTCTATTAATGTGAAATAAAGTCAAAAATAAACAATTAAATAGTTGGTCCAAATTGTAACTTTGCACCTTAATTGGTTACGAGAAGGAAGGGCCCATTTTTTATTTTTTGTTTTACTTATCCTCCCTAAACTAAATTGTTAGTGTTTGGTTTTTTCAATTGAGTTATAATTCAAGTTTTATTTTTTTATTAATAGTTTATAATAAACTAAATTAAATTCAAAATATATTTAATAAAAATTGATTTAAAATAATCTTTTAAGAATAGAAATAATGTAAATCAGAATCTATAAATCAAAACTGTAAAATCTTAACTTTTGATTTAACCTTATAAGAGATTAATTCAAGTAAAAATTATTTCTAATCAAATATATTATAATTTTCATTAAAATAAAAAAATTAACTTAAACCTAGATTTAAAAATAATGTCCAATACAACAACCTTAGTTAGTATCATTGTCGGCTTTTTTCCCCGTCAAACATGTCTTTTCTTTTCCTTATTTTCCGCTGCTCTAATCTTTACCCCTCTCCACTGGATAAAAATGGGTCACCAAATTGAAAGGTTAAAAGCAGTATACTATAGACATAGATAAATTTAAGAGTATAATAATAGTTGTTTTTTAAAGAAATTTTTTGTTTGTAAATATATTAAAATAATATTTTATTTCAAAAAAATTATTTTTAATATTAATAAATCAAAATAATTTGAAAATAGAATAAATAATTTAAAATAGAATAAAAATAAAATACTTTTAAAATATAAAAATAAATTAGATATATAAAAAGTACAATCTGGGTGGCAAAACATAGGGAACTGATCCATAAATTTGGTAACACTGCTTTAAACATCCTATGGTAAATGAAATTTAACCTAGCGTTCGGTAAATTCAAATGGCTGATTCAAATTAGACAA